TGGGTGGGGGGGCACAGGTGAGGAGATGGGAGAAGGCCAGCAGGCAGACAACCTGGCAGGAAAGCTGGGCCCTCTGTGGGCCCCACAGCACCTCGCCACTGGGGTCTGCGCTTTCCCACCAGGAGAACACAGGCTGCGAGGCAGCTGTGGGAGGGGCAGTGAGCTGGCCGGCCATGGTCCTGCAGGGATTCCTCTGGTCAAGCAGTCTTGAGTGTCAGGAAAGAGAATTTTTGTTTCCCTGAGCCCCCATTTGGTCCCCACTGTTACCTGATGGATGGGATGGGGCTCTGGAAATGTTTCGGGGGGGGGGGGCACGTGTGGGGAGTTACTAGGATTTCTAGGAAGCCCAGGAGAACCCTGGACAAACTGCACTCCCTGCCCGGCCAGGTGGGCCTCGGATCAGCCTCCTGTCGGAGGCTCCCATACCACCTAAAAGCCTAAAGGGTCAACAGTCCTGGCTGGGTGGTCTCAGCCCACCCCACATGGGTCAGGCCCCAGGCTCCCGAGGCTTCCTAATGTCCCGACCATCTTCTCCACCACAGGAGGGAGCCAATATCAACAAGTCCTTGACTACACTGGGGAAGGTCATCTCTGCTCTGGCTGAAATGGTGAGTGGGCTCGGGCTTATAGGATGAGGCTGATGGGGTAGACCATGGAGGGGCCATCCTGTCCTGCTTTCCTCAAGGGATGCTGGGAGCCTGTCGGGGTTCTAGGGAAGCCCAGAAGATGTAGGTGGGGTGTCACTAGGCTACAGATGGAGTCACTTCCTAAAGCCTCAGTGTCCCCACCTGTAAAATTGGGGTGAGTTCTATTCCTCCCAGGGCCCTTTGCAGGGTCACCATGAGCTTTGGTGAGCTTGTTGGCGGGCGTCCTTCTTGGAGGGCAGGACTGTGTCAGCTTTGACCTCAGTTAGCCCCACCCGGGCCATCCTCCAGGAGGGAGCCCATGGCCCTTGGAGCTGAGAGACTGGTTTTGATGGGCCCCACAGGGCAGGCAGTATTGCCCACTCACCAAGACACCCAGGCCTTCAGCCAGGGATGGGCAAATCTCCAGAGACCCTGCCCCCCTCTGAAGGTGTTGATGGAGGGAAGGGCTGATGCGGGGGAGCAGGCTGAGAGGCTGTCCTATCATTTGGTCTGACTCTCAGGCCCAGCTTAGGGTGGCCAGCGATGGCCGGGCGGCGAGTGATGGACGCCTGGCACGTGCTCAGGCCTTCCCTGCTCCTTTGCCCTCTGGAGCCAGCCCGTCCCCCTCTCCTCGCACACCCTGGGGCCCCAGTCTCGCTCCAGGTCCTCAGACTCTTTCTGTCTTTTCCTTTTCAGGACTCTGGGCCCAATAAGGTGAGCTGCTTGCTTCAGTTCCGGTGGGGAGGCGTCTTCAGTCCTTGATGGGGAGGGGCTAGAAGCAAACAGTGCCCTTAGCTCAGGCTACCCTCGCGAAGGCTGCGGCAGTAGAATTCACCCCTTCATTTGTGCACTTACCCAGCAAACACATTGCGCCCAACTCTGAGCTAGGCAATGAGCTAGGAGAGCAACACAGGCCTTCTGGGGCCTGGGCAGTGCAGGAGGCAGATAATGAAACAGATAAGGAAGAATATAGGGGTGGGCAAAAGTAGGTTTATAGTTGTGAGTGTGAAACAGTTACTAAAGCTATTGTAATAGTCATAGCCTGCATGTCTTTTTCCATATGAACAACTGTGTTGACCTTCTAGGAATAAGACGGTGCGGGCTGGGAAGGCCGAGGAGAGGGAGGGCGGTGGGTGGTTCTGGGAGTTGCTGAGCATGGCAGAGCAAGGGCTGCTGGTGGGTGGACGGGCACTGGTGAGGGAGCAGCAAAAGTCAAAGGTGAAGTAACTGAGTGATTGTAGGGCATCCTACATTTGGCAACAAGGACAAATGTGGCAGAGATTCAGCCTCAGGAACTAACTAAAGAAGAGTAGGAATGCAGTTTTTCACCCACCAAGTTTCCAAAGGAGAAAAGGAAGCCCCAAGTACTGACGGCTTGGAGCTCAAACCGGCTGACAGAGCCGGCCCAGCGTTCCTGAAACCCCCTTTGACAGCGAGTCTCTAGAGCTTCCACCGTTTGTCCCCTGAGAGTTGTGGAGCTCCTCTTGGGGATCATCCTAAAAAACAATGATGAATGTGTTGCCCCCAGAGAAATGGCCCGGCCCCTTGTAGGGGCACCTGTGAGTGTCCATGGGAGGGGCTCTGGGGGCAGGGGCCATGCCCATTGGCCACTATGGGGGCTCCACAAATATTTTTTAAAAATCCTCTCCCAAGGATATTTTCCCATTGATTTTTAGAGAGTGGAAGGGAGGGAGGAGGGGTGGGGAATAGAGACAGAGAGAGAGAAACATCGATGTGAGGGAGACACATCAATTGGTTGTCTCCTGCACATGCCCTGACCGGGGCCAGGGAGTGAGCCTGGAACCCAGTGCTCTTGACGGGGAATTGAACCCAAGACCCTTTGGTCCAAGGGCCGAGAAACCCAGCTAGGGCCACAAATACTTCTTAAGCAGCTGTGCGCGTAAAAGAGCGACACTGGAAAGTAACTGGATATTAATGATTAGTGGAGTCACTACGTCAGTCACGGCGGGTCCACCGCGGTGGTTCTCGCAGCCATTATATGGGCTGGCGTCCACATTTTGAGTGGATTTGCCTTGCTAGAGGAGTAAAGAGCCACTGGGGTAGACAGTGTGGAGGGTGCTTCTTAACGGGAGGGAGGGGCACAGGTATGAAAGCAGGGCTTGCAATCTGGCTTCTGAAGGGAGGTGGGAAGTTTGATGGACATGGAGGGTGACATGGAAGGGAGCGGTAAGCTGAGGGGCTGGCAGAGGCCGGATGCCACACTTCGAAGTGGGGTCTTTTATTTCAGTCAGCAGAGCCACTGCTAGTGTTTGAGGAGGGGCTCAGATGGGCCCTTCTGACAGGGAGGAGGGCGATACACCAGCCAGGACATCAGCACGCCTGGGCTCACGTCCCGCTGTGCGACCCAGACACGGTGGGGATGAGGGATCTGAGGGAGGTGCAGCAAGTCGCTGATTCCAGCCCTGGGGGAGGCGCCTGGCGGGGCACCCTGGGTCCAGGTGTGGAGAAGTCTTTGAGCTGGCCCAGCCCTGCCCCCCACGGCAACCTTGGCTTTGGGGACCACCTGTGCTTGCCCCTCGTCCTCCATGAGTTCAGGGTTGACCTTGAATGTTCCTCCCGCACAGAACAAGAAAAAGAAGAAGACAGATTTCATTCCCTACCGAGATTCTGTGCTGACCTGGCTCCTCAGGGAGAACCTGGGTGAGGACTGGAGGGTTCGCCCAACCCTGGGGTTCTAACTCCCAGCCTGGGCCACTGCCCCGTCTCCCTGCCTGGAGGGGTGCCCAGCCACCAGGAGGCCTAGTTCCTTTCTGGGCCACGACTGAGGTGAACCTGGGGCGTCCTTCCAGAGGGCCTGGGACAGTGGTCAGAGAAAGGTTATTGACAGCAAGTGTGGGGAACCAGGATGGTCCATGGGCCACAGAATCCACCCACCCATGTCAGGGTTCCTGGTTCGGGCCTGTGACACCCAGACCAAGTACCCACTCCTCTCTGGGCCTTGGTTTCCCCTTCTATGACAGGGATCCGGGACTCTGCTTGCTGGGTTTTGGGGAGCTGCCATAAATCACCCCTTCTCCTCTCTGCCTGAGTTTGTAACCAGTAGCAGTAGATGGGGAGATGGAGACTGAAATGCCTCTCACCCAAATATAAACTCGGGTCCTCCCCAGCGGGGGAAGTTGATGTCTAGGGAGATAGACTGAGTCTTGGGCTGGCCTGATGAACATAGACAGCGGATCCCCGGCCTTTCTCGGCTGCATCCTAGAGCCCCTCTGTGCCACCCAGTTGGCCCATGATTCTGTTTACCTCTCTGAGTCTCAGCCCCCAGCTGTAAATGTAGGAGGGGACCGAGAGGGGAGAACAAGGCCGTGGGCTGACCTGCACGGCCTGGTCTTCTTCCCACAGGTGGGAACTCGAGGACGGCAATGGTGGCGGCCCTGAGCCCCGCAGACATCAACTACGACGAGACCCTGAGCACGCTGAGGTGTGTTCTTGAGGGAGGCGGGCCCTGCGCCCCAACCATGCTCGGGTGGGAATGATCCCTCCCTGCCCAAGTCAGGAACACCTGTGAGAGTGGTGCCTCTTGGGGAGGTCATTTCACCTGGGACTCCTTGAGGCTCCAATTGCTGTCAGGGGTGCCTGGGTCTCCATGGGACCATTGCATTCCCATAACCCTTTGGGGTACACTTTGGGGCTACGAGTGGCCAAGGGCCCTCGTGCAAACGACTGGGAGAGCTGTGCTTGTGGGCTGAGCAGCTTGCAGTCCCTGTCAGTCATGAGAGCCACCGTGGATCTTTAATTAGCAGAGGGGTGAAGGTGTCTTAAAGGTCCCCCTGGCTGCAGGCAGGTACACTTCGGGATGGGGGGGCCTGGGCTCCTGCCCTGCAGGAGGCTGCCTAGCAGCCAGGTCAGCGTCTCGGGTCCTTTTGACTGAGCACCGCTGGTAGTAAAGAGAAAAAGGACACGGGGACACGCTCCCCTCTGCACCTACGTGTGCATTTGTTGAGCAAGGCTCAGGCTCAGACAGGCAAACACGTGGATGTTCTCACATCCCCCACGGGCTCCCTCCACCCTGGAACCGAGGTCCAGGAGCCCAGGCCTCTCCATAGGGAGAAGATGCCACCCCATCCCTTCTCCTGGGGCCTAGGTTTCCCTAAGTGGGTGAGCTAGGGCAGGGTGACCCCACCTGTAGGTCTCTGGGAAATGGCCCCATTGACTCCCAGTGGGGTGACTCTGCTCTGTCCAAGCCCCAGGCTCTTGCTCCACTCCCCCCCAAACCCTTGGGCCTGCCAGCATGGGCAAGCCCACAGCTCCCTCTGCTGCCCAGGTACGCGGACCGGGCTAAGCAGATCCGCTGTAATGCCGTCATCAACGAGGACCCCAACAACAAGCTGATCCGTGAGCTGAAGGATGAGGTGACCCGGCTGCGGGACCTGCTGTATGCCCAGGGTCTTGGGGACATCACCGACAGTGAGTATCTGCGTCCACCTATCCTGGGCAGGGGGACCAGGCTGTGGGTCCCCAGGGACCTCCTGGGCCAGCCTGGCCTCCCTCCTGGGATTCCCTCCTGGACTGGAGTGGGTCAGGCTGCCACCGAGGTCCCTCTGACCCAGTCCCAGCCCCTGCCTTGTTCCTGGCAGAGCTGCCCTGGATGGGAGGCCTGGGTACTGGCCTTGGCCTGGGGGGACCGCATGGTTTGGTGCTGGCCCAAGCAGGCCGAAGATGGTCTCCCCAGAAGCCATGTTGGCATGCCACGGGTGCGGTGGTCCCTGTGTCCCTGCTGAAGACCAGAGCTGCCTGCCTGATGCCCGGCCTGGGACGGGCAGCCCCGGACTCTCGAGACAAACCTCTTCTTCTGTTTCTCTGTCTCTCCTCCCTCCCCCATGCCTCCGCCCCCCCTTAGCCAACACTGTGCCCGGAGGACCCAAATGTGTGTATCCCCTTGCTGCTCTCTGTGCATCCCTGCTTCTGCCACCTGCCCTCAGGGTGTGGGGCAGCCCAGCGGGAGGGGCGAGGCCCAGGGACAGCGGGGAGGGGCAAGCTCACCCCCTCTTTAGGGGCTGGGACAACAGCCCTCTCACAGGTGCCCTTCTGGTAGATTTGGGGTCACATCCCTGTGTATATGAAGCACCAGGGAGGCAAGGGGCTGCCAAGGCCTCTTCAGACTAAAAGTGTCTGGGTTCAGGCTGCTGGCCCCCATGTGCCCCAGAGGCCTGGGGAGTCCCGAGTGTCAGTGCTGGAGGCCCGGTCCATCCCTGGCTCCTGGCCCCAACCTCTCTCGGGGCCTTCATGCCCCAAGGCCCTTTCCCTCTGGAAATGCCAAGAGTCTGGTTGCTGCCAGATCCTCCCCACCTGTGACCCCTGCTGGCCTTGGGCCTGGCTCCCTGAGCAAGGGCACAGTTCAGTGCCTCCCGACCCCAAGGGTGGAGGGGCCCTCGGCTTCCCTGGTACCCTGTGCTGTCCCGTTTGCTGCTGCTTTGCTCCACGTCTGCTTCTGCCAGGAGGGGCCTAGGGGGTGTCACAGCCCCAACTCTGGGGCCTTCAGGGCCCTGGTCTGGCTGGGGCTCCCTAGGTGCCCAGTGCTGGGATACTCCATGCTCAGAGCAGCCTCTCGGGGTTGGAGGAGTAGGGGCTTCCTGAAGGGTCCCTCCAGGGGTGGACAGCACAGCTTGACCCGAAGCTCAGAGATGCATTGTGGGCCAGGTGAGGGGTGGGCAGAGGGTGGCGACCACAGCAGAAAGGATGAGCACAAGTGTCAGGGCCCAGTGATGGTGAAGGGAAGTGGACAGGGCGGGAGATGCAACCATGGAGCTCATGCAGCTCAGGTTCAGAGGCTGCAAGGCAGCCTGGGTGGTGCGGGTTTGGCATGCAGGTGCCGGGAACGCAGAGAGGCCTTGGCCCAGGGCAGGGGAGTGGAGCGAGGGGCTCTGGGGGTCCCGATGGTGCTGTGCTGCTGCGGGAGAGGGTGGGCGGGGGGGCCGGGCCCATCGTGTGGGGTGACAGGTGGCCTTGCATGTGTTGCCCGGCGCCTGGCAGCTGCGCCTCACTAATAGTTTGTTTTCTGCCTCTCTTCGCCCACCTCCCAACTCGTGTCTCTTTTCTCTCCCTCCCGTCTGTCTGCCCGCCTCTCCCTCCCTTCCTCCCGTAGACCTGTCTGACCTTGACAACAATGACCATAACTGTGGCTGGGCGGAGTTGAGTCAAGCCCCTGACAATCTCTCCACAGTGACCAATGCCCTGGTGGGCATGAGCCCCTCATCCTCGCTCTCGGCCCTGTCCAGCCGCGCGGCCTCTGTGTCCAGCCTGCATGAGCGCCTCTTGTTTGCCCCGGGCAGTGAGGAGGCCATCGAAAGGCTGAAGGTGAGGGCAGGGCCAGAGTGGGCACCAGGCCCTGGGAAACTGAACTTGGAGCCCTGGGCATGGCCTTGCCTCCCGGGGGAGGCCCCCTCCTCTGGGCCCAGGGCCGAGCCCTCTTGTTAAAGGCAGGAGGTGGGGCCGTGCCACGGGTGCCCCCTCCATCTGTCACTGCTCTCCACCCAGCACCACGGGGCCCTACTTGCTGACAGGGTGGTGGGTGTCCTTGGGGCTCTGCCTCCCCTCTTGGCTATTCTGTGGTTGCGAGCCTTTGCCCTCTGGTCCCCTTGTGCCCACAGCCACTCCCTCACCCCCTGCAAGAGCCAGGTTGGTTTTAGGTTTTCTGTCCTGTTTTCCTGGGTGCAGGGTGAGCCCAGACCTTGGAGACTGAAGGGTTTAGAGTTCAAAAGCACAGAGGCCAGCCTCCAGGCTGGGGTGGGGCAGCAGCGGGCGGGGGCCCTGGGCATAGGCCCACATGGGTGTTGGGGGCCCCCCCTGGGTGTGGGGCCCACCGGCGTGTGGGGCTGGAAGCAAACAGGAAGTGTTGATAGCATCTATGCATCAGAACCAGCCCACGCCTCTCCCTCCGGGGTCACTGTTTTTATTCCGTTCCCTGGGTGTGTCCAGAGGCAAGCACACGGTTTTGAGCTCACACTACCCCTCAGCCCTGGATCCTTCAGAAATCAAGCTCCAGCATGGACTGGGCACGGGGGTCTTGGTGCTCTGTAGCCCTGCTCGTCTCCCCTCTGCCTGGCCCCTGACCTCGCTCTGCTCTGTGTCGCCCCCCCAGGAGACAGAGAAGATCATAGCTGAACTCAACGAGACCTGGGAGGAAAAGCTTCGGCGGACAGAAGCCATCCGGATGGAGAGGTGGGTGGTGGGGACACAGGGCCAGCACAGTTCTGTGATCCAGTGTGGGCTCCGGCAGACCCATCCTCTCTCACCTGTGGTCCCACGGACCTGATCAGGTGATCTGTACCTCCAAGCAGACACCTTAACTCACTGACCAGATGGGTCACTGCCTGGGCTCTGCCTTGGACTATGTGGCCAGAGCACCACTGGCTCCCGGTCACTTGGGGGGAGGCAGGTCCTGTGGCCGCTTGAGGTTTGAGCTAACCCCCATTCTTCCCTCCAGGGAAGCCCTGCTGGCTGAGATGGGCGTGGCCATGAGGGAGGATGGTGGCACTCTGGGTGTGTTCTCTCCCAAAAAGGTAGGAGCAGGTCCCCGTTTTGTGGGGCCCGGCTTGAACAGGCCTGGGCCCCCTGCAGCCTTCGAGGGGGTCTCAGTCTTCTAGAAGGAGTGGGTGTACAGCAGGGGGTCCAGGCACTGAGGGCCCACACCCACCACAGACGGGCCATCCCTGTGTGAGACCCAGCCCCCCTCCTCAGGGCGGGGCATCCCTATAGCCTTGGGAAGTGGGCTGGGGTGCTCGTCAAGGTTAGGGTGACACTGGGAACCAGACTCAGGCTGGACCCTACCTGGAGCCTGTGCTGCCCACAGACAGGGAGGGGCCGGACACGGGGCTGGGAGTCAGCTCCCTCTCAGAGCTCAGCAGAGTGCATGCCCACCAGACCTTGTCTTAGGCAGGGTCTCAGGGTCTGCCAGCTGGGAGCCCTCCAACGGAGTCCCCACTCCGATGCTCAGATGGAGCACTTGGGGAAAAGTCTCTGATGATTCTAGTACCCAGACACCACCACCCACCCCAAAGATTGCCAGATCCTTCGAGCCCTTAGGAGCAGAGCTCCAAGCCAGGGGGCCTCCCTGGAGGCAGTGGTAGTGGCTCTCCAGGCCTTACCCCTGCCACCTTGTGGGTGAGGAGGCACTGGGCCTCTTCCCACAGTGCAGCCCCCAGTGGTCGGCTTTTCACCCCAGCTTTGTTTGGGGCAAATGGATTCTGTGTTTGCTAGTCTTTGAAGCCCCCGTTGAGCCACTGGGGGCTCCAAGGGAAGAGGAGCCGAGGGCATTGGTATGGTGGGCTCCCTGGAATGGGACCAGGCTTCTTGGGCTTCTGCCCCCACACAGTCCAGGCTGGGGGACAGTGCATGCTGACAGGCAGGAGGAAGGGGTGTTGGGGGGACCTGGGACAGAGTGGGGAGCAGACAGAGCCTTGATGGGGTCTTACTTCACATCCCTTCTGGGGAGGCCTTGGTTTTCTGGAGTGTGTTGTTCCTGGGCTGTTTCAGACCCTGCTCCTTCCTGGAGGGGTGGGGCGCCCGCAGGCTGGCTTGTGGAGCTGTGGGTGCAGGGGCCTCAGGGTGCTGGGTGCCCTGCAGTTCTTTTGCTTCATTGGTCGCCCTGGGTATGGAGGACGACCCTGGGGACCACTGCAGACACCTCCTCCTGAGAACCACAGTGTTCCTGGGACTCTGGGTCCCCTCACTTAGCCCAGCCAGCAAGCACAGCCCTTCCACACACGCCTGCTCCGGGCTGGGGTGGCTGGGGATGGTTTGTCCTAGAGTCTGATGATCAGGTCTTCACAGCCCTGCAACAGGCGCATGAGTGGGGTGCTGAGGGACTTAAAGCTCTGGGTGGGGACAGTGCGCCCCAAGGTGTCAGGTGGGAAACAGGAAGCCGTCCCAGCCTCTGCCTGTTGCAGGACTC